AACTTGAAGGAAAGGGGTTAGGAGTGCGTCCATTCCCACGATGAGTCAGCAAACACAAAGGCGTTGTCGTCAGCTACCTCCTATCTGGCTAGCGATGTCTCCTCAATTCTGACTGGTCCTTGTACGATTGGACAGTGTCTTGACGCAGACCAGGAATACACGTAGACTCTGCATGACTTGCTCTAACTCGCTTTGTGTGAATACGCACTGCTCGTGGTCGCTCGTGTTCTCTTGCTTCTCTCGTACGGGTCTCATGTACAGCGGTCGGACTTACTCAGAATTCATGTTAATTACAAGTACTAGAAACGGTTCATAACAGTTTATCCATCAAAATCACAATTCCCGACCTAAAACAAGGCGGTGAGCTTGAGTGTCAATGGTTAGAGTGTTGGAATTCTAATAAGCAGATCATGGATTTGAGTTTCGGGTGGTGCAACACCTGAGGTTGCATATGGCTGACTGATGGCGGCCCATAAACCAGGAATGGCCATTCCAGTCTTCCTTGTCATTGTCGGCAATCTTCATCAGTCAATGGAATCTTCGAAGGCCTGTCTTATAGCATTGTCGAAATTAAATTGACTTCCGATGAAACAGTTATTCAAATTCGATTAACCCAATTGTGAAAAATTTGCGGCCTCGGTCGGAGTCAAACCCACTCAGCAGGGGAGGCTTTTGCGCAACCAACGGTCTACCATTGAGCTACGAGGCTCACCGTGCGCCGTGAATTTATTCACATTTGGGTCGATTTGCTTGCCAGCTTTACCGCACGTATGGAATCCACCAATACGGACGCAGTAAGCTGACTGCCAGGTAGGATTTCCTATGTAATAATCTGGGATCCACCGGATGGACTACCAGGCTAACCTTTGTTGTTGAGGATTTGGGTGATTTCAATAATTCGATTCGTTGAAAGTTAATTGAAGATTAAACAAATATGAATTTCGGCAAGGCGTGTGTTGAAACGCTGGTATTCATTAAGTTCCTTAAACACCGAGGGATCCTTGGATTTATTTAGACTA